AAGTTTAACTTTCCCTTTTTTGTTATCTAGTCATCCTCATTGATCTTCTGCTTCTTGGTATCAACATCATCATCTTTATCATCTTCAGCTGCCTGTTGGTCTCTGGCGGCCTCAGCTTCCTCATCTTCATCCCTGTCCTCTTCTTCACCATCACCTTCCTCTTCCTCCTCCTCTTCCCCAAAACCTTCTTCGTCTTCTTCATCTACCTCATTGTCAGCCTCCTGCTCCCCATTTTCCTCATTAGTGGTCCCGTTAGCCAGGGGTCTGCTCTTCCATTCTTTGTCTTCTTCACAACTTCCTTCTTCTCCTTTAAGTCCTTGGTGGTGATCTCGGAGATGGTGTCCACGGCTGCCTCTGACTTGGTGGGGCATCCGATGGAGGGGATGGAGAAGAAAGTGAGAGTTCGGGGATTCTGGCAATAAAGATGCTACAGTCTGGGGGTTGAGGGGAGGGAGTAGTGGCTGCGTTGAGTAGGAAAACCTGGGAACAATGCAAAGATGGCTTTTCATAGCAGCCAGTGGAGGGGGGTGCTTAAAGCTGATAATAATGCTACCCCTGTGCCCTCCCCTCTCCTCTTCTATTCCATTCACATTAACTTCTGAGACATTAACTTTATGAAATTTTTAGGGAAAAAGACCAGGAAAATTGTGTTTTGTTTTTATTGGTAAAGTATGGCAATGGTATGTGCAGGGTACTGTGAGTCACTTGGAAGTGCTTTGAGTGCATGGCGTTGTTTCTTAGTGTGTACTACCAAAGGACTACACAAAGTAGTGGGCCTGGGATGTGCTCAGAGTCTCACTGCAGGCTTAAAATTCCCATGAAATCTTGTGTTTTACCTTGAACACACGTGCAGAATTTGCATTCTATTCCATGATATGCACATGTTTGTATTTGTTTTAATATAAAAATGTTTCCCGCAACTCTGAGTGTAATCGATATTCTCTGTCTTCTGTAGCCTCTTGTATTATTTCCCTTTCCCTCAGGGAGTGGCTTGCTCATTTGGAAAAGGCCAGGCATATATCATTGTAGAGTTTCTTTTCTTTCTTTCTCCTCTCTGCCCCATCATTTTTCTGGGAGAAAAGAAAATTAGGGGTCTAAGTTGAAATTGGAGAAACTGGCAAATTAAAATCACATAGGGAAAGAAGAATTACTGTTTGATACTATACCAGTAAAAATAACAGGCTATTTATTGCTAGTAGAGACTTGGTCTTTGGTGTTTGTAGTCATCAGACATATAAGATAATCCTTGCTAATACAGTTTACTTTCTACTTAGGTTCTAGGTCCCAATTCTACTGCAAATAGTATCATGGCCTCTTACCAACAACAGAAGTCTTCGGTTCCTGTTCTTGGTTAGTATTTTTTCCTTATAAATTATTACAGTAGTAAGCAGAAGGAATATCTTTCTGTATGTATTAAAAACATCAGCAGTCTAAGGAGAGATTGGGTATTGACTACAATTTTTCCTCAGTTCTAAGACTGCATTTTAGTAAGATCAGTTTAATGCTTCTAGGTATGGGGACTTGGTGGGGGGAAATTCAACATAACTATTATATGTATAATTTTTTAAAAAAATTTTACCAACAATGGCAAATACTTGTCCATATAGGCATATCACAGTTACAGTTTCAGTCTGAACAGTGTACATTCACATATACATTTGTAAGGTTCTTCTGAAGTACCATTTTTGGCTATTGGCAGTTATGCGTGGCATCTTGGGGACGTTTTCTTAATGCTTGCTTATGAATAGGACCTTTTTATCATGTTTAGAATTGACAGTATAATTTGAAGGCAAATCCAAAGAATATTAGCATTTTATCTGTATTTCTTATTTAGTTATACCT